TGATTATGTTACATTTGATTTTGAGATTTTTTTTGGCAATTATATTTTTGTTATTTGATAATCAATTAATAATTGGCTTATATCGGATATATTGAATCAAGGTGATAACGTCGATTTTTTTTTATATATAATCTCGCATATTTTTTGGTCGTTTCATCAATTTGGCCACTGTGAAAGGAAATTGTGAAATATTTTTTTGTTAAAGAATAATTAATACATAATACAATGCCATTTTTATAAAATTTCATTGGAATTTTGACTTTCAATTTTATACAAAAAAATATCAGTCAATATTATTCTTCAAATTTCTCATACTAAAAATATAGAATTCCAATATTACAAGAAAAAGGAGACATGCATTTATTCTGATTATATCTTCAAATTTCTCATACTAAAAATATAGAATTCCACTATTACAAGAAAAAGGAGACATGCATTTATTCTAAAATAATCAGTTATATTATTGTTTAGTTTTTTTATACCAAAATAAAAAAAAATCGAGACACTCTTTATGTGCTAAAAAAAATTGAACAGTTTATTCACACAAAAATTATTTGAAATGTTGTCCAAAAAATGAATTAAATCGAGACTCACGAATTATACACAAAAAAAATTGACCAGAATATTTTCTATAGAAAACATCGATACACGCACATTATATCAAAATATTTGTTCGTATCATTTTGTCGGAGTTATGGTAATTTCGTATAAAAAAATTGAAATAAAAATTGAGACTCACACCTAAAAACCAATATATTGGCCTACGCATTACAAAGATAAAAAATATAACATATATTTTCCAACAAATTTTCTACACAAAAACAACCATCAAATAAACGAAATAATTTCGTCCACTTTATACCATATATTGACTAATTTATTTTCCATATAAACGACCATCAATACCGAAAATAAATTTGTCCGCTTTATACCGACTGATTTATTTCCAATAGAAACAACGATTAATACTACAAATAAATTTGTCCGCTTTATACCATATATTGATTGATTTATTTCCCATAGAAACAACGATCAATGACAAAAATATATTCATTTTACACTTATATTGATTAATTTATTTTCTACAGAAAATATCATTAAATACTAAATATAAATTCTTCAACTTTATACCATATATTGATTAATTTATTTCCAATGGAAACATTCATTATATACAAAAAATAAATTCACCCACTTTATTTGGTTAATTTATTTCTAAATATAGTATATAATACTTTTTTAGAAGCAACGATTATTATAATCGAACTATTTAATGTATACATCCAAAAAAGTCTCTCTGCGAAAAAATCCCTAAAACCCCAATTCGCCGCGCTTCGCCGATTTCCTTCCAGTTGCATCTCCCGTCGACGGTGAACTTGGGCCAGTGGTCGTTTTCGACCGCTCGGCCCACCTCTCGTTGATGTTCGCCTCTGTCCTCGCCGCGGCTAGCTGTTGGTTGATTCAATTTTTGGACCTTGGTTGTTTTCGGGGCTCGCGGTGGTGCGTCTTTTATAATCGGTCGTTGTTGGCTCGACGACTGGAATCTTATCCGCCGTTGGATATCCGCTCTCCGAAGCTAAGCTCCTCGATTCTATTTGGATTGATGTCGTCGTTTGGCCTGCCTGGTGGGACCGTCGGAGAGGCTCCTCGACTGCCGCGGTCCTTGATGTCGGGTTGGTCGAGCTTGCCTTCTGGTGGGGCTTCTTGCGAGGGCTTTCGAGATTGGAGGTCCGGTGGCTTGGTGGTGGTGCAAGGCGGCGAGAGGTCTTCGGGGGTGGGTTGGGACTCTTGCCTTTTCGACTCTTTGTGTCGGTGGTTGGGGTTAGGAGTGCGATCTTCCTTTG